TCGGAAGAGAGCGCTTTTACTACATGTGGATACATGTCAATGAGAGCTTCGTGAATAAACAGCGCGTCAATGGCCGAGAAAGTGTCAGAGAGTGTTTCCGTAAAGTGTCCGGTTTGCGCCGGTGACTTTGATCCTGACAGCATTAACGCGCACTTGGACGAGTGTTTACAGAGCGCTGATGTTCATCATCACACAGCAGCTCGAGAGGAACCTTCAGGACCTCCGTCCAAAAAGGCCCGCACTGACACCCCTGACACCCATCCAGCTGCTGCAGTGTTCTCCGTGTTTCAAAGCAGACCCAAAGCGAGCGATCAGAAACACAGGACCGAATCAGAAAGCTCTGGTCCAGGTCTGAGAGTGACGGGGACACCCGAGTGCCCGGATGCACCTGGCGCATCCTCACCAAGAGCGTTAAAGCTGAATAATGACAAACCCTTGGCAGAAGTCTTGAGACCCAGCACTCTGGAGGAGTATTTCGGCCAGAACAAGCTGATCGGAGAGCAGACCCTGCTCAGATCCCTGCTGCAGTCACAGGAGGTCCCCTCTCTCATTCTCTGGGGGCCACCAGGCTGTGGAAAGGTCTCTGGTTTGTAGCTGGTTCACTCTTTTGCACCAGATATACCTTCAGGCCTTCTGTGATCAAACTCGTGTAGTTGGGTGAAAGATAAAAGGGGTTTCCAAGCATCAAAGCAATAAAAAGTTAATGCATTGTCTAAAATGCCATTAAGTGTTATGATACTTTATACCAAAAACTCTTGTCAGGCATATTTAGAACTAGAATCATTAGTAATTAATTGATCCGCTATCCTTCAAGCCACTAGGTTGCACACATTTATCAGCAAGACGTTTTTAATCATTTCTAATATTTGTGACCCAGGAGCACAAAACCTGTGATAAGGGTCCATTTTTGGAAATTGAGATGTATACATCATCTGAAAGTTGAATAAATAAGCTTTCCATTGATGTATGGTTTGTTAGGATCGGATAATATTCGGCTGAGATACAACTATTTGAAAATCTGGAATCTGAGGTTGCAAAAAAATTTAAATATTGAGAAAATCATCTTTAAAGTTGTTCAAATTAAGTTATTTGCTATTCATATTACTAATCAAAAAATTAAGTTTTGATATATTTACGGTAGGAAATTTACTAAATATCTTCATGGGGCATGCTCTTTACTTAATATCCTAATGATTTTTGGCATAAAAGAAAAATCTATAATTTTGACCCATACAATGTATTGTTGGCTATTGCTACAAATATACCCCAGCGACTTAAGACTGCTCTTGTGCTCCAGGGCCACATATCATAAAATTAGGTGTAATTGCATTATTTTAATATTTTAATAAGCACGGGTCTGAAGAAGTTCGTTTCATTTTTGCATAAATATATCTGTTGCTCTGAATGACGATGGAGCATTATTTCACTTAATTTAGTTTTAGCAAAAGTTATGTGAAACATTAAAGTAGACACTTGTAGACTCATGTATATAAAACCACTTTTGTAAATTGAATTTGATGTGGACGTCTTTTCTTTGACCCAGTATCTCTTAAAGAAAACATGTTATAAACAAGATCTCAACTTGATAATATGTTTCAAAAGTCTTGAAATGTGGTCCCAGAGACTCCAGGTTTAGAATTAATACATTTGTGTAGTATACTGCTTGTTTACTTGAATTTAGATTTTTTATTTTTTTCCCCCCACATTTTCACAAGTTTTTGACCTATAAAATCCTCAAAAATCAATTTTGATAGCTTGAAAATATACTATGGGATAGTTTACCCAAAGTTAACCATTTATTACACACTGTGATGTCTTTCCAAAACTGTATGGGTTTATTTTGTATCTGCAGAACACAAAATACAACTTTATTTTTTTTTTTTTTTGAAAGCCATTTTTCACAATTATTTCGTGTCTTACAGGTTTAGGAGCAGCCTGAGTAAATGGTGGCAGAGTTTTAATTTTGGGGTGAACTAAATGTTTAAATCTCTAATATTTTAATTTCTTAAAAAAAAAAAATTAGGCCTTCCGTCCACACTAAATTTGCATTTCTTATTATTTCTCCAAAATGTTACATGCTTGCTGCATAATAATAATTGAGAAGTTGCATAGTGGGAAGTCTTCCCAATCCTAAAGTGACTCGTTAAGCCGTGTGAAAGGCTCAGATTAGCGGTTGACAGGTGCATGTGCTAGAATAATAGTCCCTGAGGGTCATTTAGTGAACATGAATGTGCTGTTGTTTTCACATTCACCAGGTTATCATCTTGCCTTCAGTGTTTGTATGGCAGATGTTTTCAGACGAGAAGCTTATGTTTGATTGCTGTAGTGGATAGTGCAGTTTGTGCTGTGTTCGTAGCTCATCATAATGAAACAGAGGAGACGTGGTGGACGAGCCGACTTGGCAGATTCAGAAACAGACCTTCCTATGTCAAGTGTCTGGTTTCACTTATTTGTGTTGGTGTTTTATAGATCGTCACATGGATTTACAGCAGAGCAGAGCAAATGTTGGGTGTCTGTTCCTTTCTTAAGGAGTTTGTGTCAAATTTTGTCGTTCTCACGATTTCAGTTGAGCCTACAAGTCAGAGAAAATGTTAAAAAACCATCATGTCAGCATAATTAATATCAGCATCTCATTGTTTGTCTGCGTGTTGTTTACAGACCACTTTGGCCCATATTATCGCCAGTTCGATTAAGAAGAAAGGCACAGGACGTTTCGTGACGCTCTCCGCCACCAGTGCGTCCACCAGCGACGTGCGAGAGGTCATCAAACAGGCCCAGAATGAGCTCCGTCTGTTTAAGAGAAAGACCATTCTGTTCATCGATGAGATACATCGCTTTAACAAATCCCAGCAGGTCAGTTACATTACATTACAGGTACAGTAGAGCCCTATGAAATCTGTTTGATTTTATTTATTTTTTATTTTTTTATTTATTGTCTATTAATTAAATGCATAATAACAACTTTATTTATTTATTTTTGTCTATTAATTAAATGCATAACAACTTTTATTTATTTATTTATTTATTTTTGTCTATTAATTAAATGCATAATAACTTTATTTATTTATTTTTGTCATTAATTAAATGCATAATAACAACTTGGTTTATTTTATTTTTTTTTTGTCTATTAATTAAATTTATAATAACAACTTTATTTATTTATTTATTTATTTATTTACTCACCCCCAGAAATTCTGTGTTGTCTATTTTATTTATTTATTTTGGTATTCAAATGAAGGTATAAAATATAAATGTAATTGATCTTTTAATCAAACAAACATTAAACAAACCATTTTATATTTTGGCAAACAAATTTCTGCACAACAACTTAATTTTAAAATTAAAACATGGAGGAAAAAATGTGTTTTAGTATGTTTTCATAATTGTAGTATTAGTGTTATTATATTAACATTCTACCGTACAATTGTAATATGTTTCTGTCACAATTTCTTCAACTTTTATTTTGATGGGTTGCCATAAAAATTAAGATGTTGTTCATGTATTTATGTCTGAAAACACAGCAAGCGTCACACAAGCGTAAATAGGTAAAACACAATATCTTTGCCACACACACACACACTCACACACACACACACACACACACTCTCACACACACAAACACACTCTCACACACACAGATATTTTAAGAGAGACAGAGATTTAAGTGTACAGACCTACTTTTGATTTATTAAAGGGGTCATACGATGCGATTTCAAGTTTTCCTTTCGAGGACCTACAATAATGTACAGTATTTGAAAAATAATGTGTTTTTTGAACATTAAAGCATGTCAACATATTCTGTTACACCAAATACACAAAATAATTATCTTTAAAAAAGCATCATATGACCCCTTTAATGCAAACTTTGGCAAATTCCGTGACATTCTGCAGAAAATTCCGTTTTTATTTCTGGATTCTGTGATTCCGTCCATGTTTTCTGCATCATGGAAATCATAGAGCACTAGTACCGTGACCCCATAATGTTTGTGAAACATCTTGATAGTCAATATGATTGTCTGCTATGACACCTGTGTGGATGTGAGAAGAACAGACTTTTAAAAAAATCATTAAAAATGGCTGATTCGAAGACAAAAATTATGAAAAGTGGAAAAAAGATCCTATAGCATTTCAGATGCAGAAACTTGATTTGAAATTCAGACTTTTTACATTTGACTTGTGTCTCCAAATACATTTTGGTAGCACTGTATGTCAACAGGTGGGCATTAATGTAGTAAGATGTCTGGTGTAGGTACAGCGGGCGCAGGATCACTCTGGAAGCGTGTTTATTTGTGTATGCCTGACAGTCAAGACAGTTTATCCTCAACCACAGCGTCAGTGGCTTTAAATACATCCATAATTATATTCAAAATGAAGCAGACAATATACCAGCCAAAGGGATTCCCTCCTCATGCTTTCCTATTTAGCCTGGATTCAAAGAACCTGAACACATTTCGAATAAACAGAGAGACTTATATGTATACTGGACTTCACTGCGCCCCTTTATTGTGTGGTGGCCAATAATGGCTTTGCAGCTCTAAAGATGGAAACTATTAGACAGAAAATATGTGGTATTAAAATAAGGTCAACAGAAAGATGACAATTAGTTTGTGCTCCATCTGCATCACTCAGCCATAACGAATATACACATAACTTATTATTATTTGATGCATTTATTAGTTCTTCAAATCAACTACCCTGACTAACATGAGGCCACTTTTGATTGCTTTTTAGCTCACACATCAGTACAGATGTTTAATTTACCAGCGGGGCTAAAGTTAAAGTATAACATTCATAAAAATTAAAAAAAGCTTTTTTTTTTTGTATTCTGATATTCATTAAATCTGTCAAATGCATGATAAATGTGCAAAAAAAAAAAGGTCCATTGCCTGTTGTCAGTAATAGAGGTGTGAATCTTCAAGTATCTGTACTTTATTGGAGTATTTTTATTTTGAGAAACTTTTACCTCACTACATTCCAAAACATACTATTGTACATATTACGTCACTACATTTCTTAAAAACATGTTGTTCCTTATTATTTTGAACTGATTTTTTTCCCCACTTGTTTGCACACAAGTATCAGTAACCTAAAGTGATATTTTAATATATTTAATGTTTTGACAGGCCATTTTCAGGTATTTTGATTATATAAAATATGCAATATAAAATTACTAAATAAAAAATTGTTAAAGTTTAAAATATATGTTAAAGTTTACAAAATAAAAATTCATTGATAAGTACTTTTTATTTTTAATACGTAAGTACATAAAAATGAAATACTTTTGTACTTTTACTCAAGTAAAATTGAAAAGTAGAACTTAATGCTTTCAATGGAGTAATAATTTATTAGTGTATCTGTACTTTTACTCAAGTACTTTGTGTACTTCATCCAACACTGGTGTGAATCTTTGAGTAGACCACAAATCAATACAATTCATGATTCAAAGGTTTTTTTTTTTATTTGTTTCACCATTGATTTTTGCTAATTCAGAACCATTTGATTCACAATGTGATTCAATTTCAGTTAAAGTTTAATTCTGCATTCATATGAACCTTACTTTATCAGTGAAAGGTTCAAATTCTGTCATTGAGTTTAGAACTAAATTGAAATCTTATTTTCTTACCTTGGATTTTTAAACCTTGTATGATAAGTTGTCTTTTAATTTTACTGATGTTATTATTTTTTCTGGTTTTTATTTTATTTGTACAGCACTATGGTCAACCGCTGTTGTGTTTATCGGTGCTTAATAAACACAAGAAATTAAATTAATGAAATGCATACATGAAATGAAATATATATTTACCTAATGTGTCTTAGTCAAAAAAAGACAAGCTACTTAAAGCCGGAAAATTCGCTGGAAACTCACCTAATGATTGTGCAAAGTTGAGTTCTGCTTTATTCATTTAACCTATTTGTGACCCTGGAGCACAAAAGCAGTCTTAAGTCTCTGGGGTATATTTGTAGCAATAGCCAACAATACATTGTATGGGTCAAAATTGTTGGATAAATATATCCGATCCTAACAAACCATACATCAATTGAACGCTTATTTATTCAGCTTTCAGATGATGTATAAATCTCAATTGACCCTTATGACTGGTTTTGTGCTCCAGGGTCACATTTTGCTTTTCCAAGACACTGTCATCTTTACTGTAGAACGGACCCACCTTTGATATTTCTGCACTGTTGGAGTGTAAGGTATCTTCTCTTGTCCTCCCATGTCCCCTCTGTTCTCGTCTCAGGACACCTTCTTGCCTCACGTGGAGTGCGGGACGATCACTCTTATTGGCGCCACCACAGAGAACCCGTCCTTCCAGGTCAACAGCGCGCTACTGAGCCGCTGCAGGGTTCTGGTTCTGGAACGGCTGTCTGTGGAAGCGATGGGCTTGATCCTGCGCCGGGCTATAGACTTTCTGGGACTGCAGGTGTTGAACGGGGATGCGGTGGAGCGGGACGCTTCAGAGATCTGCTCAGAGTAAGTGTCAGTCATGCCCTTGTTATCTCGGCGGGCCTGAGACGGCCCATCCTCTGACTTCACTGCCTCATTTTGATGATTTATTAGTGGTTTGGATTGGTAAGTAGGACAGACGGTTGTCTCTCAGCCCGGCCTCGAGTCGACCAGCTGTGAAGTGCTGCAGATCAGGTTTTAGGGCCCTCAGGAGTCCTGTAAAAACAAACGTGTTGAGTTTCGCTGAACCGAACGCTCTCGTTTTATGAGTTTTCTCAGTCTGAAGAACAGCCTGTGACTTACTCAAGAGAATAAAATAAGACAGTTTTCAGCTGATGCTTGAACAAAACGTCACCAAAAATTATTTGTATCGTGCATCACATCCAATAAATCACAATAAGCTTTGTGTTCTGTTACTTCTGATATGAAACGAAGTCTCAGCTTTTAAATTCTGTCAATTGCATTACAAAATTCAAAGAATAAATACCGCTTCGCTGCTGTTTAATGTGATGTTATAGATTGCTATAGCTCCGTAGTTCAAGCGGCACATGAAGCGAACATCTCTTCATCTTTACTACTAGTTATAGCACGAAATGAACACGAATAAACATCAGAAGGTATGTTTAAAGAAATAACAACTTACTAAAATGAATCAAGTGTCATGTATTCACTCAATCAGTGTTTGATGTAATGCAGGGATTCCCAAACATTTTTGTCAGCCGAACCCTTTTGACTTAAAATATTTACTTGAAATATCTCTGAGGACGTTCATAATTCAATAATTTAACAACACAGTTGCATATTTACAGTTCAGTGACGCTTAATGGTCACACTGACATGCAGGTTAACAAATTAAACATTTCTATTTTTAGTGTTTAAGTGTTTAAATAATTTATTTTACATGTTTATGATTTAATTAATTATTAGCTTTTTATCAACTCACAAACCCACTGCAGTTCTTACATTAAGCCCAGTTTGGGAAACTCTGGTTTAATGTAATGTTTAATGCATTTAATATGATGTTGATATAAAACATATTTTGCTTCCCTTTGCTTTTTTATATAAGTATGGCATGTTTAATGGTAAGTTTAAAACAAGATAGATAAAAAGTAATCTAAAACATAGTCAGAATACAGTACCTTAAATAAATAGCCTAGATTACATTACCGCAGCTTTCATCATGTAATCTGCAATTAGTAACACTTTGAGCTAGTGTTGTCACGGTACCAACATTTCAGTGTTCGGTATCATTAAACATTAACCCGAACCCGACCCGAAACCCGAAAGTATTTCGGGACCCGTCGGGCTCGGGTCGGGTAGCAGACCTCTAGATGTGTTTCCTCGTTTTGAGGTCGCCACGTCTCTGCTTTTATGAAGAGAACGCATCTGCAAAAGAACCGGGTTGACCGGGTACTTGGTACCAATGGTACTTAAAAAAACCTGGTACCGTAATGTTTTCATTTTTTTTTAGTACCGAAGTACCGGGTCTTTTGACAAGACTACTTTGGGCTACACTTTGTAAGTAATCTACCCAGCACTGCAACCCAGTTTAACATATGAATGGTTGTTTTCTAGCCTTTTGATGCACCAGGATTTGAAACAGCGTAACTTCACTCAACACGTCTCTAAAACATGTGTCTTTGTCGTATGTAATTGAGGAGTATTCTGAACAACTCATGTCTGTCCATCAGTCACAAGAGCCAAGCTGCTGTCGAGTAAGAGATTTAAAGAAACTGCACTTCCAAAAACTCTGCACAGCTTGAGCTTTACCGTTTTGCTGCGACTATATCTGCGAGCAAACCATGCGATTTGACATTCTCTTGATTTGTGCTCGTGAAAGTGCAAAAGTCCTGATGCAGTGTATGAGAAAAAAAAAATAAAAATAATAATCATCATTAATAAGTGTGATTTAAATTTTTGAGCAAAGTAATCTTGATTAGCCATTATTGTGCAGTCTTACTTTAATGTATGTAAAATAATACATTTCTGAGAGTTTATTTAGAGTTCTGGCATGAAACTCTAGATGGCGCAGTCCGATAGGTCTAACTCAATCTGACCTAATGACATCATTATCACATGGCACAGCTGATTGGTTCTCTCCTGTATCGGTAGCCAATGAGCTCGCTGCTCAACATTCAAATATATGACTAGTGCTTGCCGTAGCAGTTGTAGCTTGCTTCAGAAACCCTCCACCTTCCCCAGCTCCACCTGTATAGATCTGCTACGAGGTGATTCATGCATGCTATATGGGGATATTTCATGTATGTTATATTTTCAGTAATATTTCTTACATGCTCACAGCAGCATGTTGTGGATGTATTGGCAGTAGCAAGTCTCGGCACTTGCTCTGCCGCAGCAGCAGCATAGCAGATCTGTTCCGCCAAGACCAAATACATTAACATTGTCATGTGCATTACCATGCCAATCCCTCCAAGAGCTGTCATGACAAATATAGTTTAATTATATTGTACATTTCTTGATTATTTTGTGTATTTCTTAACATAAGACACTCTGGTGTGTTGAGCAGGCCTGAGCTCTGTGTGCCGTCTGTGTTCAGATCTCAGGTGTGTATCGAGCAGAAGGCGCTGGACACGGTGGCGCACCTGTGTGACGGAGACGCTCGAGCCGCTCTCAACGGTCTGCAGCTGGCGGTACAGGCGTGTGTGGCGCAGGTGCGCACCGCTTCATCCAAACCCCACGCCGGCCCGCAGCCAATAACAGTGCGTGAGCAGCACATTAAAGAAGGACTTCAGAGATCACACATCCTTTATGATAAAGCAGGTGTGCCCTGTTTGCACTCAAGTCATCAGTCTATTTAATATAGCACAGTTATTGTCAAACAGATCCACAGAATTCAAGTCTGGCCACTGAACAAGCTCTATGGCACTTTCCACAAATTAGAGTAAATTTGCAACCCAATTGTGGCATAGCTTTAAGGGTCTTGAATTTGTGCTTGTTGTATGTTTTTAGCTTAATAAAGTATTAATAAAGTATTTTGACATTAGCTAATTAGCTATATATGTGACCCTGGACCACAAAACCAGTCATAAGGGTAAATGTTTCGAAATTAAGATTTATACATCATCTGAAAGCTGAATAAATATGCTTTCCATTGATGTATGGTTTGTTAGGATAGGACAATATTTGGCCGAGATACAACTATTTGAAAATCTGGAATCTGAGGGTGCAAAAAGTTTAAAGTTTGCCTTTAAAGTTGTCCAAATGAAGTTCTTAGCAATGCATATTACTAATCAAAAATTACGTTTTTATATATTTATAGTAGGAAATTTGCAAAATAACTTAATGGAACATGATCTTTACTTAATATGCTAATGATTTTTGGCATAAAAGAAAAATCAATAATTTTGACCCATACAATGTATTTTTAGCTATTGCTGCAAATATACCCCTGCTACTTATGACTGCTTTTGTGCTCCAGGCTCACATATATAAACAGTTGTGCTCATAAATGTACATGCAGAATTGCAAAATGTTAATTTTAACAAAATAAGAGGGATTGCATGTTAAAATTGCATGTTATTGTTTATTTAATACTGTCCTGAATAAGCAATTTCACATAATAGATGTTTACATGTACTC